CGGCCGTGCCTTTCCATTACACCAGAGGGAGGGAGCTATTCTTGCACCGAGGCCAGCGTTGAGTGGTCTGAGGGGAATGTTTGTTTCTGTCCCGGCTGTACGCGCTCGGGCCCCCACCTAAAAATAAACCTTGTGTCATATCTCGTCCTAGTGTGGGGACAGAGTAAATACTGTGTGCAAATTACTATAAATTAGTGTTGAGGCCATTTAACATCAGAATTCGTGGGGGGATTGAGCTTCAATTACGTAAATTATTCATATAGATAACGTCTTCTTTTTTTTTTAAATACATCTTCCTGTTTATTTAACCTCTGAATTAATGTTCTTCATTTTCCTTTCATTTTGAACTATTTTTATTTCATTTTCCTTTCATTTCTTTCCTAAAAGCTTTTCTTTTATTAGGTTAGTGCAAAAATAATGTCGTTTTTTGACGTTAAGTTGAACATCCAAAAACGACATTATTTTTGCACCAACCTAATACAATTCTGTTCACCCTGTACAAGCTCCAAGAGCCATTCGAGTTACAGGGATATATAGTGTGAACGAAGTGTCATATTTATTAGGCTCGTCCTAAACGGATTCTCCTCCAGTTCAGTTCTCACGAATGAAGGTGTTCCCCAAGGCTCTAGCCTGGGCCCTTCACTGTTCCTTATCTTCATTAACGATCTTCCCGATGTCATCAGTTCCCAAATATGCATCTATGCAGACGACACTACTATTTACTCCTGCCTCAATAACAAATATGGTATTGCTGACAAAACTAACCTGGCCGTTAGTCTCGAAAAGGACTTCCAATCGGTTATTGACTGGACAAGAAATGACTGGTTAACTTTAATGCCTCAAAAACAAACTGTTCTCTATTACCCACCACAGTGACCCCTCCCTGCCTCTCATTAGAATGTCTGATGCGCAACTCCGCGAGAGCACATCCTTGCGACTGCTTGGTCTCACACTGTCCGCTGACCTGAGATGGAACAAATACATTGAATCAAGAGTTTCATCTAGCGCAAGAAATGTTGGTTCGCTTTGTCGCGCCAAAAAGTTTTTCTCGTCCGAGTCCATTCTTCAACTCTATTAATCAACCATTCACCCTTGAATGGAATACTGTTGTCATATATGGTCTGGAGCCCCCGTTGTTCGTCTTAAAGTCCACTACAATATCCAGAGACGGATATGTAATGTGGTTGACCCTGATATGGCATCTCGTTTACAGTCGCGCTCTCAAACACCTGACGTCACCTCTGTCTGTCTTTTCTACAAATAATTTAACGGTAACTGCTCTGACGTGCTATTTTCGCTGGTTCGTAAACTGCATGAATTTAAACGTGCTAATATCTCAGTCCCACCCTTTCACTGTCTAAACGGTTAAATGTAGCCCTCACTTCTAGTCCAATAGCTTCATTTCACGCTCTTCCTGTTACTTGCTTTCCTGATAGCTATAATCTCCAACTATTCAAATGCAATGTCAATCCCCATTTCCCGATGCCTTGATCTATTCCCCGCCCTTTTCTTCCTCCTTTCCATTTTCACGCCTCTTTACTCTTGCTCCCATTCTCTGTAACCCATTGCGTGCTAGTGGCACTCCCGCCTTTCTTGGGGCGAAAAGCTTCCAAAAATGTGGGGACGAAAACCAAGTTTATTCTTAATCAATTCAGCCCAAGTAAGGGGATAAAGCCACTAAGATTCAAGCGGGTAATAGAAGCCAGAATGAAAATACTTTAGAAGGAATTGAGAACCCAAAGAAACAAGGAATAAACAACAACTCCTGTTTAAAATACCGGGAAGTAATATGAAGCGGACGATACGCAAACCTGTCTACTTCTCTAAACGGGTTAATATTTTAATGAACGGGAAAGCATTCTCTTGGCCGATGGTTACACAAAGTAGATTTTCATCCTCCTGCTTCTTCCCTTCATTCCTCTTACATTTAACCTTTCTATTTTCTTTTCAATGAAACCTCTTTTTCTTTTATTTCTAATAGTCACCGAATAGATAGCCTAAGAGCCACTCAAAGTAGAGGGTTACTGAACAGGGTTGTTGTATGAACGTTATAGTTGGAGTTAAATAGTGCAGTTTATGTGGATGTGGATGAAAGATGACGGCTAACATTAGTCGAAGAGGATGATATTGTATTGATGGGGAAAGCATCTTGTTGTGACTCTATTTAAGAAAGTAACTTATTTGGGCGGTCTTAACTGTCCGAGTGGATATTTTTCATGTCTTTTCTCTTTCTTTCATCATTCCTAGTCTCTCCACTTTCTTCTTATTTTCTTCATTTTTTAAAAAAAATCCATTGCTTTACGTATTCCTGCTCATTTGCTTTTTTTTATTTTGTGCAACATATTTATTCAATTATCTTTTTAAATGTTTTCATTTTTTAAATATATCTTTACGTCATCCTCTGTCTTAATTCACTTTCTTCGTTTTTATTTAATTTTAATTATTTTTTATTACATTTTTCATTCGTTTCATTCTTTTTTCGGGCCTCCTTTCCTTCTGCCTAGCTTCTTCCTTCCTTCGCTTTTCATTTAACTTTTTTTTTCTTTTATCGTCAGCTTATTTTATTAGGTCGGTGCAAAAATAATGACGTAATACTGTCGTTCTTTGACGTTAAAAAATACGTCAAAAAACGACATTATTACGTCATTATTTTTGCACCAACCTAATATTATTATTATTATTATTATTATTATTATTATTATTATTATTGTCTATTTAATTTTTTTGTTTTGTTTTTTTCCTTTCTTCCTTCTTTCCTTCCTTCTTATCTTCCTTCAAACTATTTAAACTTTTCCTTTCTTCTACCGCAGTTTTAGTTTATTATTTTTTCTCCCTTTCCTTTTACTGTTCTTTTCATTTTTCTTCATATCTTTCTTTAAGTGTTTTCCTACTTTTCTTCCTTCATTATTTCCTTTCATCATTCCTTTCTTCCTTCCTTTCGTTCCTGTAGCTCTTCGCTTCCATTTAAAGATTTTTCCCTCTGCCGCCATATTAATTTATTATTCTTCCTTCCAACATTTAATTTCACGTGTTTTTTTTTATTATTTTTATTCTATTTTCTTTCCGTTATTCCTACCCTCCATCTTTTCTTCCATTTTTCGTTTTCCCGCCATCCATCTCGCTCTTCGATTCATTCTTTCTTCTATTTTCTTTCCTTCATTCCAGCCTTCCTTTATTCCTTAATTACTCACTACCTCTTTTTCTTCTTTCCTTCCTTCCATTCACTTTCTCTCCCTTCTAGCTCGTCACTTCCTTCTTGTATTTTCCTTCCTTCCTTTTTCTTTTCTACTTCCTTCCTTTTCTTCCTTCCTTCCTTTCCTCTATTCTCCATTCCCCCATCTAGCTCTTTGCTTCCTTCTTTCTTACATTTTCCTTCCTTTATTGCTTCCTTCCTCCCTCCATTCCTTCCTCCCTCCCTCGTTTCCTCCATTTTGCCTTCCTTTCTTCCATTTTGTTTTCTTTCTACTTCTTCGCTTCCTTCTTTCTAGGATTTTCCTTCCTTTTTTTCTTCCTTTATTGCTTCTTCTATCTCTCTTCCGTCCGTCCTTTCTCCGTTTTTCCTTTTCTTTTTTTCCTCTCCCCCTCCTCTCTTCCTTCTTTCTTTCCTTATGTCTAGTTCTTCGCTTCTTTTTTCCTTGTATTTTCCTTCCTTCCTTCCTTTCTTCCTTTATTCCTTTTTTCTTTCTTTTCTTCCGGCTTTCTTGCTTCTAACATTTTTTCCTTCTGACGCCACGTTAATTTATTATTCCTTTTTTCTAGCTTCAGTTTACTATTTTGCTTTCCCCCTTTTTTACTTCCTTTATTCCTTCTAACTCACCCCTTCCGTCCTATTTATTTTAATCTGTCTATTGTTTTTTCCGGTAAAACATTTTCTTCTTCTTTATAGCCATTCTCTCAGCGTTCTTTGTATTTGTTTGGTCTTCAATCAGTTATGTAATCTTTCTTTTTCTTTTTTCTTTTTTAGTTCGCCTCACTCATTGTTGCTTTCTTTTTTCTTCTCCGCCATGTCCTAGAATATTCCTATACCTCTCTTTGGGTTATACAGCGAAACATTCCGAGGCTTTTCTTCAATCTAATTTCCTGATATTTCATCTCATTTTTCACATATCTACCTTCAAACGTCGTGGTGAGTGCAAAAGTTTCAAGGCAACGAAAAATCAATCTCGTTACAGCAGAATCTGTGCAAAAGGTCAGAATGCCTCAAGGAAAATGCAAAGACGCTCCTTAGGACGTTACACTTGGCCGATATTGGCGCAGACTTAGACGAACACCTAACCAGAGGAATATGCAACTTTCGAATTATTCGCTTCATCCTCTCTGTGTAACCGTCTAGTACTAAAATCAGCACAGGTTATCACAAAAGACAACTTCTATGTACCGTTTCTCTTCAATGCGGAATTGATCATGGCTCTCCACAATTTCCTGTCCTATGCATCTATTAACATATTTTCTCTCCTGTTATCTTTACTAAATTTTATTCCTCCATCAATTTACTCAAGATCATTAGGTAGGTTATGCAGTTGTGTTTCTCTGTCCATCTTACCTTCAATCTGCTCTAGGACACCTCGAGATGGTGTAATGGTTAGCAAGCTTGTCTTGTTAGAACAATTACGACTGAGTAGTGAGTTCGATCTTCACTGGGTGTTCCATACTTTGTGCCTTGTGCCACATCTAAGCTACACTTGGAAAATCACTACCTTCAATCTGTCCTGTGAGTATCCAATATTCCATGCCTTCTTTCCTCATTACGTGGCCGATAATTTTTAACTGTATCATTCTGAGGTGAAATATAAGTGTCCCTTTTGTCTTCATTTTCTCGAAAACTTCGTCGTTGTTCCTATATTCCATCCATGTTATTCTCATCATCCTATTTTTTGCAATCCCATTTCTGTTGCTTCAATTTTTTTCATCTGTAAGAAGATTGTCCAATATTCACTGCAATATAGGCAGACGGATATAGCATAACAGTTTATTTATGGCTTCCAAGCGAATCACGTATTTCAGTCATCTTCTTCCGTTCTATTGCATTTGAGCTCGATTTTAAGTGCGATAACATGTAGTTTTCTTTTCTTTTCCTTTTTCTCACAGCACATAGATAGATAGATAGATAGATAGATAGATAGATAGATAGATAGATAGATAGATAGATACTAATAGGAGATAGATAGATAAAGACTAAAAGGAAATAGATAGATAAAGACTAATAGAAAATAGAGTGATAGATAAATAGATAAAAAGTGATAGATAGATAGATAGATAGATAGATAGATACTAATGGAAATAGATAGATAGATAGATAGATAGATAGATAGATAGATAGATAGATAGATAAAGACTAATAGAAGATAGATAGATAAAGACTAATAGAAAATAGATAAAGACTAATCGAAAATAGAGTGATAGATAGATTGATAGATGAAAAGTAATAGATAGATAGATAGATAGATAGATAGATAGATAGATGGAGAGAAGCACCGGTATTTGTGTGCTTTTTCAGATTTGTATATTCTTTTTCACTAATACGGCGTCACTAGGAAAAGTTAAGTGAAAAAGAAAGAAAATGTCGTGATAGAAATATGGCCCGTTTGTTTTTAGATTCTTAAAATCAAAGCTTAATCACTTGGAGTTTGCAACATAAGAATTGTTTGTTTTATTATTTTGCAGCTCTAAATGCAACAAATTCACGGATACTTAAATCTTTGCGTTTGTTTGATTTTGGTACCTCAAATTTGCAATATGCATGTTGGACACTGCCTTTGGTAACACCCATGCATTTAGTCTTCTTCTATTTATCGTTTATTCCTTTCTTCTGTCTTTCCTTTACTACCTTTTGTAGCAGTTATTTTAGTTTCATTTCTCTGGCTGCTATCAACAGTGTGTCATCTGCATATCTTATGTTGTTAAGATTGTGGCCGCCAATAATGTATCTTCTTAGGGTTTCAAATCGCTTTAAAATTGCCTTACTGTATAGATTGAATACGTCGGGTTAGAAGACACATCCTTCCACTCCTTTATATATTTGTATATTCATTGAAATCTATTTAATCCATATGCAGGTGGTTTACTGCCAGTATAGTTTATAGATTATTTTAATATCCTTCCAAAATATGTCAAAGATGATTCTTAGTTCTAATCTTTCTTTGTGACATACTTAATCAGTATCTTTACTATAATTTATAAAAGAAAGGTACACATTCATCTGCATTGGTATTCCTCTTTTTGTTATCATCCTGGAAGTAAATATCATATTCTTCGCACTGTACTTGTCCTATTTCTAGTCTGATACCGCTTCACGCTCCATTCATTAGAATGATGTCTTGTTATATGGCTCATTAGGTTGATTCTTCGATGGAGTTCACATTCTTTGGTACCTGGCATCTTAGGCGGTGCTAAGATAATAAATCCATTTATTTCTCCCTTTATTAAATCTGTCATCTTGTTGATGCCGAAATCATCTGAGGTTAGCAGCATCTATATTAGACTTACGTTTGGCCCTATTGTTTGTTTCTGGACAACTTCACAAGTGTTGATTCCATTTCAAATATTAATATTTCTGGCCCTTCCACACATATTCTGTCTATTGCCACCTTTTCCTTGTGGAAGTCGTTTCCTGATATATTCGTTCCAACTCTGAATTATTTTTTCTGTCTGTAATGATGAGCATGTCATATGTCCTGTTAGTTTTCTCCTTTTTATGCATATGGGCTTAATTCCTCATATTTATTCTACTCTTTCTGTTCATTTCTCGTTGAGCCATTCCTCTTTAGCCTGCATGCATCTGTTCTTAATTTGTGCAGATTTATATATTCTGCGTCGTAACTTGCCATCGTTTTTATTATTTGAGAAATTCATCAATGAACCATTCTTTTTCTCCTTGACGATTTATTTTGCGATGATCTCGATGATGTGATGTTAGTAAACCTTCTCAGAATGTCTCCCATTTCAAGTTTCTATTCTCATTTCACTTTTCACACTGTCCATATACAGGGTGCGGCTGGTATTTGAGGACAGATTTGATTGATTAGTAAAAACCTTGCTGAACAAATGAATATAATGATATTTGATTACAAACAAGTAAACATGACATTTAGCTAACTATTATTTACTTTTATTGAATAAAACCACCACTAGCATCAATAACTGCCTCTACACGAGGTCGACATCGGCTGAAAGCTCTGATTAATTGGTTCTTATTTATGTCAGATATTACTCGAAATATTACAGCTTTAAGAAATTTTTTGGTGTTATGAGGCTTTTTATTAACCTCCTTCTTAACAACGCTCCACACATACTAGTCTAGTGGATTGAGATCTGGAGAGTTAGGAGGCCACATCTTGGGTGTGATGTGGTCGTACAAATAGTCAAACATCCATTCTTGTTTTCATAGAACCTTGTGGGATGGAGCCGAGTCACACTGGAATATGTAGGCCTGCCGTTGCATACGTTGTCAATCTAGGGTTTGACAACTGTTTCTAGAACCTCAATGTAAGCAGCAGCATTTACTCTAAGACCTTGTGGGGAAAAGTGTTGTGCCAGAACCTGTCCTCAATTACTAAAAGCACCCAATACTATTACACTTGAGGAAAATTTTGTGCGCCTCACTTTTGACACCTGAGAAGGATCTGAACAAAGCCATATGTCATTTCTTCTGTTAAGTTTTTGATCTTGGGAAATTTTTTTTTCATCTGAGACAAACCAAATCACACCAGCTTCTGAAGGATTTTTAACTTTGTTTAAAAGCATTTTGAATCTGTTTAAACGGTTTTCTTTTGTTTTTCCAGACATAAATTGACCTCTCTTCATCACGTAAGACTTGTATCGAATGTCTTCATGAACACTCCTTCTGATTGTTTTCTTTTTTTTCAGATACATGCAGCTTTTTGGTAATTTTCCCCATCGATTGGCCTCGGTTTTCATCAATTGTCTTCTTGACTTCCTGAATAAATTCGGATGTTTTGACTTTATCAGAACATGCAGAATGTCTTTTACGTTTTGATACAGACAGTCAACGTCTTCTAACTCTTTTCGTATCTTGTGGACAAAGGATCTTGCAACTCTGAGGAAACGTGCAATATCCAAATCGCTATGATCAGCCTTTAATGCCATAATCACAGCAAGCTTTTTCATTTCATTTGTTATCTTAAGGTTAGCCATTCTTGATTTCTAAAAAATAAAACCATGAGAAGTTATTGGGAAGCAATAATAATCTTAAATCTGTATGTCCTCAAATACCAGCCGCACCCTGTATTTTGATTTCACATTCGTGTCATTCAAAAGTCTTTTGTATTGCAATTTCTGAGCTACCCTGGTTCTTGTTTAATTTCCGTAGTTTCACTCTAAGTTTATATCATTGGAAAGTGATCACTCACACATTCGTTTTTTTCTTATAAGGAAAAGTAGTAAATACATCATTATTCTTACTATCAATGCATGGGTGTTATGGAGTGGTTTCACAGTGGAGGCTTGTATTTGTCGGTCCTAAAATAGGTTCGACGTACAAAACGTTAGGAACTTGATATAATAGGTAATGACGTAGAGAAATCTAGTTGTGGTCGCTGATACTTTTAGTATCCGACTAACGGTCGTCCGGCATCGATTGACTGACCGAACCACAGAGCGATATTCAGTCACCGCCCCCCCCCACGAGGGCATCATGTGGCACACAAGGCCGGTTTAACGTGGCATCTCCGATCCCGTGGGCCCGGCAAAAAAATGCCCTTTGAACCCGTATAAACGGGTTTAGGGTCGGTTTACATCCCAGAAAGAGACTCCGCCCTTTGAGCGTAGCTTCGTTCGGGTTCCTCCCCGCCCGAAGGCAGAGAGTTCAACCGGTCAGCCGGTCGTCCGACTTCAGACTGAACTCAGACCGACCCACTGAGCGACTCCCTTAATCTTACTACTCCTACTTATTATAGGTGGGGGAGTCTATTAACTAAAGAGGTGTGTTCCACTATAACAATGGGGGGAAACAGAATTTTTTTTGTCCTTGTTAAGTTCATATGTGAACTTAAGTACAGAGTCTTTTTTAAAAGTTTTCTTGTAGTACATGTATTTCCTCTATGTCTTTGACTAAAATGAGAAAGTCATCTACATATCTTAGGTAAATGGATGGTTTTTAGTGGTATTAATTACATTATTTTCTTAATTAGTCATGAAAAGAATTTAAATGCCTTAAAAAATTACAAATGTATGAGCAAAAATGGAAAAGTTGCATTTCTTATATTCGAAAAAAAATACACATAAAACACGTAAATGTTGAACTTTGAAATCTAGAACACTGCACAAGCAGTAAAAACGAATAGTTGAAATGTTTTGAATTTACGGAAACCCATATACATATTCACAGACAACTTAACCCCCACTGAAGTTGGTCTCCGATGAGACTGAAAGTACTTGGGAAAATAAAAACTACTTGAAAGAAAATGTTGGTATATTTCTTACCATATTTCTAAGTCTATCAAAAAAAAAAAATCCAATAACTTGAAAGGATCACAACGGAAAGTAATTGATATGATATGTCTAAATTATTTAACAAAGTCTGTTAGAACACACACACACACAGATATATATATATATATATATATATATATATATATATATATATATATATATATATATATATATGCATAATTTTTCAGACAGACATCAATTACTTAATTAGTTTTACTTTTCTCCTTTTGGGATTCTCCATGTCCATATATGTTATGGGTGCTCTTGAAAACAGGTGTTGGCTACTACCTGATCATTAGTGTTGTGCACCGTGGGTCCTATCTTTCTCCACGTTCGGTACGGGTTACCAGTCTGAATTCTCCAACTATTTAGCCATCTTTCCCCTTTGACGACTTTGGCATTCGTGTCTCCTATAACGGTTGTAATTTTTTGCGATTTGCATTTAGCTTTGGCGTTGTCCACCTTACACTGAAATTTCTTTCTCTGTACTTTGTGCTGGCATTCCATATACAACTATGACGGATATGTTGAATGTAGAGAAAAGAAAGTTTAACGAAATAAAATCCTTTCCAGTGTTTGAGAGCATCCGAGAACACATTTTTTCATATAATTATCTAGTATCAATCCTACACCTCTTTCATTTCACCTGCATACATGTTCCTCTGTTTTTCACTGACGAAATATGCTTTGTTTGCTCACCTCTTTCCACATACACATAAAATATTAACATTAGATCTAGTCATATAGTGCTTTTTTTAAAATCTTTCTACATTTTTTCTGATATCCCATACCCGGAGAATTATTTGCTTCATGCGAACAGTCACCTTATGCCGGTCAGATGACACATGTTGCACATTTAAGGGTGTAGAGTTAATTCCAATAGATTTAACTCTCTTCACGCCGTTATATTTCATAATTTAATTGTTTAAATCCATAGTGGTGTAATTTCCCTTCTCCACAGAGAATTTATTGAGACATTGCCACTAGTTATCTGACACGACAAGAGTTCTTCCCCACTCCGCCGAACAGGTCTTATTTTTCATCATACATTGTTGCTAACAAACTGCCCCAATCGCCGGAATTTGCAGTTATGGCGTCGGATTAGTCGATGGCCATTCGATAATAGCATACATGCATATTCATACCTATACACACATCTACACAAATTGAATATATATATATATATATATATATATATATATGTGTGTGTGTGTGTGTGTGTGTGTGTGTGTGTGTGTGTGTGTGTGTGTGTGTGTGTGTGGTCTGGAGCCTCCTCTGTCTGTCTCGGTGTTCTTGATAGGCTCCAGAGGCGGATATGCAATATAATTGGCCCTGTTCTGGCATCTCGTCTACAGTCAGTCTCTCACAGACCCGCCGTCGCCTCTCTCTGTCTTTTTTACAAGTGCTTTCATGGTAATTGCTCCGAGGAGCTGCATTCGCTGGTTCCCAGACTTCATGAATTCAAGCGCCCTACGAGGCTGGCATCCCGCTCTCACACTTTCACTGTCGAAACTCCTAAATGTAGCCTTCTTTTCTACTCCAATAGCTTCATGTCTCGCACCTCTCGCCTGTGGAACTCCCTTCCCTATTCCAGTTTCCTTGAGAGCTATAATCTCCAGCTATTCAAATGTAATGTCAGTCGACATCTCCAGTTGCCTTTATCTACCCACTACCCTTCTCCTCGTCCTTTCTTCTATCACTCCTATCTGCTCTTGCTCCAAATTTTCTGTAACCCCTTGCGTCCCAGCGGCTTCTTTCTCACCTTGCTTGGGGTAAAACGCTTAAATATATATATATAGATAGATAGATAGATAGATATGTGTGTATGTGTGTGTGTGTGTGTGTGTGGCTGTTTAAGTGCTAAACAATATTACTATTGTCTTAAAAATCATTTTATCTTCTTACCTTGATTTTCACGAGTTAATAATGTGAGGGGAAAAGCTCTATTCAACATTTCATTTTCGAGTTGACCCAAAATGTTTTATAGTAGATAATCAAAAACCTGAACTTAAAAATAAACAAAATATATTTAAAATTGGTACCAAGAGATTTTTTAAAAAAAATAGATCACATATTTTTAATTAATAATAATTGTTGAAACATTGGTTCCCGTACGATCACCGAAGTTAAGCAACGTTAGGCCTGGTTAATACCTTGATGGGAATTATTTATCGGGGAGCCGAGTTCCAGTTTCAGTTGCATTCATTATTTTCACTTGCTCGCAAATAACCTTGGGAAAGTTACGAATCCGCGCCTTTTCCTCCAGCTATGGATTAATTAGTAATGTTTGTGTCAATAAAATATTCATATCTCTAAAAATAAAATAAAATTGCGCGCAAAATATTTAGATTTCGGCATTTAATAACTCTTGATCTACCACTGAAGAAAAACAGCAAAACAAAAACAAATTTCCTTCAAGTTTAATTATCTTTACATCCACTAGGCCTATTTGTTTCAGCTCGATTTTAAGTGAAATGACAGGAAATTTTCTTTTTAATTTTTTTTCACAACGCATATACAGATAGATAAAGACTAAAAGAAGATAGATAGATAGATAGATAGATAAAGACTAATAGATAGATAGATAGATAGATAGATAGATAGATAGATAGATAGATAAAGAATAATGGAAAATAGATAGATAGATAAAGACTAATGGAAAATAGATAGATAGATAGATAGATAGATAGATAGATAGATAGATAGATACTAATGGAAGATAGATAGATAGATAGATAGATAGATAGATAGATAGATACTAATGGAAGATAGATACATAGATAGATAGATAAAGACTACTAGAAAATAGATAAAGACTAATAGAAAATAGAGTGATAGATAAAAGGTAATAGATAGATAGATAGATAGATAGATAGATAGATAGATAGATGGAGATAAGCACCGGTATTTGTGTTCGTTTTCAGATTTGTGTATTCTTTTTCACTAATACGACGTCGCTAGGAAAAATTAAGTGAAAGAGAAAGAAAATGTCGTGATAGAAATATGGCCCGTTTGTTTTTAGATTCTCAAAATCAAAACTTAATCACTTGGAGTTTGCAACATAAGAATTGTTTGTTTTATAAAATCCAACGACTATGATTTAGTAATCTTGTAAAAATTCTGATAATTGTTTTATCACAATCCATAAAGTTATTTTGTGCTTTCTTTTTAAAATATATTATCATAGAACCTATCTGCAATAAGTTTTAAAAACAAACTCAGATGACGATGAATTTCAATTTCTTATCATTTCCACCGACCTCTGGATTGCATGCGAAAATATTGAAGTAAATAATTCTATAATGTGTTTTTGTTCAGTATCTGATTTACATCGTTGATATGCTTTCGCAATCATTTTACATCAAAAATTATAAACAGCTGACACATCGAAAAATTCAATTACGTTGGATGACTGACGCTTCCTGCTATTGCAGCACAGGATTCAAAATGGCCGTCAAGTATTTGAGCACGCACTTATGGTCGCATGCCGTTTGATTTCATTAATTTAACTGGCAGGACGGATGCGATTATTTTCCTGTCTGTGTCATGTCCCCAGTGAGTAGCGGATCAAACTTCCGTCCAAGCCGTCGTTCACTTCGCTGAATGTAAACAGTGAATTAGCGAACAGAAATGAGCGAAACGTGTTATAATCGAGTGATATAATTCCCTTGCAGATTAATGATCCCATGACAGCAAATAAATAAACTATATCTAATGGGAAAGTGCGCATAACCGTAGAAATCAAAATACCGAGTTCAAATCCATGTCGAGCCTGTTAGGTTTTTTTTTATTTCTTTATTTATTATAGCCTGAACGCCATGAAAGAAAGAAGATGACCAAAATACTGGCCAGTTACTTCTTTTTATGAGTACATGCATAAGATAGAACGGTTAGCGAATCCCAGACAGTCGAAGGTCAGGCATATTTACGCTTAGTCAACATCCGCTGAGGCGACCTGTGTTTTATCCAGCAGCTATGCTAATCGGACTTTAATAATTTTGGTTATGATGAATTTAGATAATGTGCCAGAACGCTTTCGGCTACCAGTTATTGAAATAACTTATAATACGGATGCCTCCTTATTGTGCACTCAGTTTCATTTAATGTAAGTATTTTTTTTTTCAAAATAATAATTATATTTTTATTCTATTCGTTTCTTTCTCACATTTATATCAAAATACCTTACGGCGGTAAACCAGAATGCATCTGTCTATTTATTTATTTATAATCGAATCAGTTGACGAATTTTCCAAAAATAGACATTACATTTTAAAATGACACGCCCATATAGCTTCTTCATCTATCGATACGAAACATCCGAGATAATGTTTCATGAATAAAGTGCTAATGCATTGTAGTGAATAAGTATATGCAATGTTGTTATAATGTATTATAAATGTTTATTATTTTTCACACAGGTAAGAGTTGGAAGACTTAGACTCAACACGGAGGCCTACATCAAGTGCCTTGAGGAGCTAGTGCTGCTCTGAGTTAAGAGGGTGACTGCTGGAAGAGTATGTCTGGCAACAGGACTCAGCATCATGCCACACAAGCAATAGAACCCAACTTATGACTGTTAAATGATATCTGCAACAACATCACACCTTACATCTGGCCACATAGCTCCACAGTCTGCAAAGCTCTTGGTTATTATGTGTGAAGCGCAGTTGAGCGTAAGACCAGGAAAACACTTGGTAACGCCAAAGATGAACTGAAGGCAATGATTATGGCAGAATTCACGAACTTAAACAAGGAGACCGATTAGAATAGTTGCAGGAGATTCCGAAATCGTCGGTGGGGGTGGGGGGTCTGGTTGAAGCCAATGAGGACTGTATTGAATGTATTTACTCTTTAGTATTCTAAGATATTCTTGTGTAATTTTGATAAATACATCTGTCAGTGTTATATTCATTTTAGCGTAATTTAGATGACACTTTATCCACCGCATCGTGTATATATATATATATATATATATATATATATATATATATATATATATATATATATATATATATATATATACACACACATTGTTATATATATATATATATATATATATATATATATATATATATATATACACACACACACAGTGTATGTATATATATATATATATATATATATATATACACGGTGCGGTGGATAAATAAATATATAAATATAGCGTCGGTGTGTCGGAGGATGCATATTTTCTATGAGAATTTCTCGGACATTCGGACCAGTAAATGTCCTTAATACTGTTTATTTTAAACAGAGCATTTACTTACATATTTGTATCTATAAAAAAGAACGTATAAACATAAAAAATGTCTTAAAAAAATTGTCGGACTTTGTCCATTACATGATGTATGACGTCATTTGTTTACATTTGGATACACTTTGAACAGATATGAATAAATGAGAGAAAATCATGGAGAATTGTGTTTTAAAACAGTAAAATCAACATTGCTTACCGAACGCTCATCTATGGCATATATATATATATATATATATATATATATATATATATATATATATATATATATATATATATATGTGTGTGTGTGTGTGTGTGTGTGTGTGTACATTACACATTTTGTGTTGTATTATTATTCCATGCATTAGTCAAGTTTCAACAATATATATATATATATATATATATATATATATATATATATATATATATATATATATATATATATATGCCCTTATTTTTGATTATTCGGACTAAATGTCCACATGTTTGTTGTCATATTTATTACAACGTTTGGGGTAGACTGTTCTAGTTCCCTGTGCCATGTTTAATGGATGTCAGCTATCACTTATCTCAACGTTATTGCAACGTTTCGGCCGTTGTACGCTCCGGGCTTCTTCAGATGGTTGGCATGTCGAACTGAACTCTTTATTTTTCTCACTGGGGTATACTGTTCTAGTTCCACGTATAATGGATACCAGTTATCAGTTATCTCCTGTTAATTCTCCCTCTGAAAGGTCTCCACTGCCTTAACCGGTTATTGAACTCACACTCTTTGATTCCTGTCACTGGATCTAACTAACGCCTTTATACACTCTGCCATGCGTCCTTGAGGACACATGGTATAGTCTATCACAGTGAGCAAATGTTGAAGAATGCTGGAGCGTACAATGGCCGAAACGTTGTAATAAATATAGCGACATATATAGTCCGAATAATGTAAATAATGTACATAATACCTCATCTCAGAAATATTGACAGATAATGTATGCCCTTTTACTTCAAATCTTGAGAGGACATGGCTCTTTACAGCTTCCTAATTTATTTTATTTTATATATATATATATATATATATATATATATATATATATATATGTAAACAGTGTCCCCTTATTATCCCACTCAGTCGATTCCCTACCATTAATTTACACAAACCGGTATTCACGATTGCCCTATACTCTTCTTGCCTTCAATATGTCTTGTGAAATTTCAAATCTCCAATTTTCCTTAAACTATGCTTATTGGTCAAATAGGTCTTTTACGGTATTCTCGGAATCTTTCCCCACAACCATATCTCCAATGCCATAAATTTTTCTTCAGCATACACGTAAATGCATCAATAAGGTATTTGTAGAAAAAATATTTCTTTTTACATAACAGATTTCCCAGCGTATGCGTTTAATTCAACACCAGATGAAAAAACAATAGACTGAAGAAGACATTACTGAGGAAAAAAGGCAATAAAAAGAACTGGATTCAATGCCGCAGAAGATGACGAATTAAGTTTCATTTAAATGTCTGTAGATGTAGTTGAGAGGAAAGCAAGAGATGGAAAAAATGTTAAAACTATTAGTATATTAATTATGGGTAAATTTAGTAGTTTCAACTGTAAAATGTTGATACCTTAATGATAATCTAGTGCTACGTTTAAATTCATGAAGGCAATGTAAAAAAGAGGAAAACTCATCCGAAATTATATCATGAAAATAGTTGTAAAAAAAGGCACAAGCAATCTAGGTTAAAGCGTTGCCAAAGAGAATAAAGCAGGGATGCCAGATCGAGGATGATAATATTGCATATTCTTCTTTGGATTTTCTCAAGAATTTCAGGGTACATAGAAGAATCAGATCAGATGTTGAAACGATATCAAATACATGGTCAAATGGTAGCCTTTTAATAGTGCAAAACAGATTCAGGTTAGACGACTTGACTAATTCGACCTAGAGTATCAACTTTCTTAGCAACACGTTTAGAACTTGACTCGATATAATTACTCCAATTCATATAAGCAGAAAAGATTAAACCGAGACAGCTTTCGCCTCAGTAATGCTGATGGAAAACAAAACAACATTTTCCATGATGATTAAAATACAGCAATTTGTTTTGTACTCATTAAAATTAACAATTCACTCCTTGCCTCAGTTAACAAGATTATGACTTTTCCACAATTATTCGTGATGTTTGAGATCGATAAAAAGAAAGGAAGAACGTACTGCTGCAATCTCAATCAGGTATGTCTTTCTGCTTTAAGTGTCACAAGAGAATTTATATATTTAAAAGTGTTCAAAGAGGAATTAAAGTATTCGTATCTATGTAGGCTACCAGGGTTGCTTGGTAATCCTTGTAGACACCTGCTCAGGCATATATTTTCATATTCCAGTGATTTATACTTTGACAGAATAGGGACCGATAGTAAGGGTGAAAATAAAAAGAGTCAAGAAGAAGATGAGGATGAGGAAGAAGATGAGATGATGAAAAAGGAAAATACTAAGTGAGCCTGCATTAGTTTCATGCTGAGAGCGCATAATTTGGAGGGTTAATGCTATCATGCTCAGATCGAAAGTCACAGTGATTTTCATTTCTTTCTCGCACATCCATCGATAACTTTCGAATAGTTTCATTTACCCAATTTCAAAGATTATCTGACTCAAAACATGGTTTAATTTGGCCATTTGTATGTTGCTGAGGATAGACATATCAGACAATGAAATATGTATTATGGTTATCCATTGTTAGATACTATAATATTATTATTTCATTAATGTCTTAGGCACGTATTTCAAATTTATCTAATGAACATCTGTTTCAGAAGCAGACCCATTCATGTAGGAGAATACTGTATCTCAACTTGAAATCCAGGTGGAATTTAAATATTATTAATCTATATTAGTGTTACTAAATCAAAACTTACTTGAACTTGAAAAAAAAATGAAAGACGAATCGAAAATGAAAGTGAAAGTGAAAGTGAAATCGAAAGTGAAGCCGATATATATCGTTTTATTATTTCTCAGGTGTTAAAAAATCTTAGGTTTCAGCAAATTAAATTAGTGTGAAAGGCTACAATAAAACCGAAAGGCTTTAATAAATATTAATCAGACATTTCGAAAACATATTTAACTGCTAATGAAATTATATATTTATTTGGGCTGTGGAAAATGAAACAGATTGTCTGAGAAACTGCTATATGCATTTTGCTTTCAGTGAAGACCAAAAAGTTAGTTATTGTTTTCGATGAGTCATATGTACTTGTTATCATAGATATGTATATGTACGTATATGTTTATGTTTATATATTTATTTGTGTGTATTTCTGTACGTATATGTATGTATGAATATATATATTTTTTTTTTTTTTTATGTGTTTAATTTGTTTTTGCTGCCGTGTATATATATATATATATATATATATATATATATATATATTTAAGGATTTCTTTCTCCTGTTTTCTTTGCCAAATATATAATGAAACTATTATCAACTTATATGATTAATAATA